TGTGTGTGTGTGTGTGTGTGTGTGTGTGTGTGTGTGTGTGTGGGCGTGCGTGTGTGTGTGCGTGCGTGTGTGTGCACGCGCGTGTGTGCGTTGGCACGTGAAGAAGGTTAGCAACGTCTCCCCCTGTATTTCAGGGAGGCTCGCACGAAGACGCCGTGAAGAAGATCAAGCAGAGTTTCTGGCCGGCCGTGCTCATGAACTGGAAGTTTTGGACCATCATTCAGTACGTCAACCTGAACTACGTCCCAATGCAGGTAGGAATGCTGCACTGCGCGCGGAACCTTCCTGCCCCTCATTCCTAGATTCTGTCTGTCTTACCCAACGTAAATGCTGTTCAAATAGCTTTATATAGAGTGTGTGAGAGAGCAAGCGAGCGGTATATAGAGTTCATATTATATATGTGTGTGTGCGTGCGTGCGTGTGCGTGTGCGTTTGTGTGCATGGGTTCATACATGCGTGTGCATGTGCATTCAAATGATTGGTTCATCACGACCCTGATGGCTGGGTAACATGGAACTCTAAGCTAGCTGAATCTACATGGGGTAGGTGTACGTCCCGTAGAGACAGTCTAGACAGATCGGTCTCGTGTCACGGCTTGTGTTCTGACCGTGGAAGGCCTGATTCTTACGTAGGCTGCAATCATGTGCTTTTGACAGGCCTCGAATATTTTTATTATTATTGTTATTATTAAATCTTTATTGCATGTAATTCAAATACAAATACGTACATGTACTGAAAACAGTGTTTTTCATGCAGAAAAAATCGGATAGATGCAATCATGCTGACTGTGCCGTCATGACAAATCTGAATCATGAATGACAATCACTGTGAGAAATTCTGATAGATTCAAATATGACTGCACCATCTTTACACGAGTGTGCTTGTTGCTTCTCTAGTATCGGATCCTGGTTGGGAATGGTGTCGGGCTGCTATGGAGCATCTACCTCGCCACGAAGCGTCACTAAATGCGTGCCATCGCCGCCTTTCGAGGCAGCAGCTGCAACCGCAAGGTGGCACCACCTATGATGATGCGATAGACAATTTGCGAGCACGGTGATTTTGATTATTATCGGGTGATTTTGTACACGTGCTGTGATATACTGGGTCAATTCGTGTATGGCCATATGCATATGTGTGTGTAATGTCTTCTGCCAAATGTTTCCATTGTGTTGGAAATGAACAAATGAATAATGGCTCTTATTGTTGGAACAGGTGGCATCTGTTGCTGTTAATCAGGGCTTCCTGTTAGTTTACGTAATAAAAAGAATGAAATAATTGTTACCTGGTGAACTGTTTCGGCAACAGTGAATGTTGTAGAATTGTTACTTCATGGCTCTGTCCCATGTAATGTTCTTTTGTGTATGGTTAGTGTAGGATGTGTGGGTATATGGTTTGATTGTAAAATGTTTAATTTAATGTTATTTACGTGGAAAAGTTTGCAACTAAGTGTTATGTAGCTGAAATTGTCATTAACATAAAGAAAACTTTCCAGCGTACCGTACTGCAAGAGTGAACGTTACATATTCAGCAGTAATATGTTTTAGTGACTTTTATCAGTGAAGAAATGGCCAGGAAAGATGTACAAGTTCCATGTAATAAATCGTGTGTATGTGCGTTGGAAGGTTTGATAATCATGTTACAAATTTATATGCAGCAATGCTTTTTCAATTTCCTTGACTTGAAAATATCCAAGAGTATAAATAATAATAAATGTTTCTAATTTTATATTTGATACGTTTTATGAAGATTTAATCATTGTAATTGTGTTGTAATTTTATTAAAATAATATGTATCATAGCATAAATACTTGTTTAGCTCTAATATGTGTCTTGCTTGATTTCACAAAATAATCGATCTTCCTAGCCGATCATCATCAAGTGGGAATAAGGGTAGTGCGGTTATAAAAAGTGCAAGTGCAGGGCCCGATTCAAGACACTGGTATTCGACGTTCCGCCAGGTTCGCGTTTACCTGTACACTGTGACTATAAACATTTCTGATTGGACGGGATCGCGCCACTGTTACAACTGTTGTGGTGGTGGCACTACGATCGCAACATGTCAACCTTGAGTAGAAGATTTGGCCGTTCTCTGCCGTTTTTATTGTACCGTGCTAATAACACGAGTTATAATAGAGATGGAGCTAAATTTTTTAGCAGTAAGACCTTTCCTACTTGAAAAAAAATTATGCACGATAGTTTCACTTGTGGGAAGGCACGGAACCGTACTTTACGCCATTTAAACACTTCATCCACAGCGAATAACGACAAGGCAGCTTCGCTCCAAGAGCCACATGCATGAGGAACAATGGACATTTGCTCTAAGGTTTAAAATGGTTTTAAAAAAAAGCGAGAACTTACTTTGCACCATCTCCGCCAGGCGGCGCTGTCGGAAGCGATGGACGATGAAGAGCAGGAAGGCGAGAATGAGGAACGACGTGACGGTGCTCGCCACCAGCCGCAGCCCGAAGTTAGTGCTGCCATCGATGGGCACTGAAAGTAAACCCAATTGGAAAAAAAATTATTGTTTCTTTCTTTCTTTTTTGTTCAATTTTTTTTCTTCTTCCCCATCTCTTTCGATTAACGGTAGTTTTCGATGCTGCGTTCGTTCGAGCGTTAAGTAGATTACTTAATCAGGAGAATCGCACACCTGCATGTGCATCTGCACCACATCACGACCAAGGTACACAGGGATTTCCCCATGGGAAGTTGCTCTCGCCCACATCTCGATCGCGGTGAATACGTGCCGCTCCGAAATCGAGCAAATCTGTCCGTCTCAGATCCGACCATCCTCTAACAAACTTTCCACCGACTTTCACCAAATTTTCCTCGTACGCAAAACTCAGACGCTCTCAAACAATCACTGCACAATTACGCGCGACATGCAAGCACGACTCTCGACTTCATTATCGTTGCCATGACTGCACGCGAACATGAATTTTCTCGTAGATGAAAGACCGAAAAATGCTTTGCAATCCGTCTCCGGATAAACTCCGGGAATCACGATGAAGGTCGAGTCAAGGACGCGACGTGACGAGGACGCGGATTCTGCCGGAGCGTTATTTTTTTCCGAGCCGACAGTAGATTTTTTCTTTGGGATTTCGTGATGGGAATGGAGATTTTAGAGAGGTGATGATTTTAGAGAGGCGAGCTTCATGGTTGATCCAGGGAACGAATGGTTGCAGCTGATTGCCTGAACAACATGACAGTGCCCCCAACCCCACCATTGCCACATCTCGTTAAATGGTGATATGTCTCCAGAATGAACAGAGCAGTGCTGACTCTGTTGCAGAATCGATCACCACAAATATAAACAGGACAAATATTACAACTGCGTTGACATCGCGTTCACATCAGGGGCCCATTATCAGAAACAAAATTAGTCTTACCATTAGTCTTATCAGTAAAACTGTTTCTAGTACACCAATCACAGAAACGTGTCAAAGTTAACAGATTCTCATACGCACCGTATAGTGGTCCCATCTACGAGAAAAAGTCAATGTTAGGACTAATGTCAAGACTTAATAGAGGTGCCGTCGCCGTATGCTAAGACTAATATTATTTGTTTCTGATAACGGGCCCGTGGTTGCTTGTGAGCGACGACTCAGCACCATTATGTCCTTCTTAGTTGCTCCCACTCATGCACATATATTGCCAACATGTGCACTTCCTTCTCTAAAGCCCGATCAGTCTAGTGTGACTGCAACGCTGCTGCACCTAATCATTTTTTGATACAATATTCTGCAGATGCTGCTTCGTAATTACCTGCCACAGTCAGTCATGAGAGACAAGTCGATACATGTTTTTTTATCTGCTTGGTGCGCACGCCAAATTATCGACTTCATTGCTGCACTTCGTTGCTTAAAGCATGCTTATGGAATGCCCCTATTAAAAGGCTGATTGGCAGAAGCTATGGCTATTATGACAGGCGGAAAGGTCAACGATTGCAATTAGATCGAGAAAGACGTTCAAAACGAACGATACGCTAACGACGAAATTAATCTTACGAGTTAACGATAATAAATGCTTGAATAATATAAATGATATCATATATATATATATAAATATACTAATAATATCTTGAATCTAGATTTAGTGGATGTTAATGAGAGTGGTATCACGATGGACTAGGTATTTGGTTGTATATAGGTATTTAGGTATTTAGGTATTTGGTAGGTAGGTAGTTGGTTGGAAGAGCCATACCTGACGCAGCGTCGGGAATGGTGCCATTGCACGTGTACTCGCAGCACTTTCCTTGCACCTAGAAGTTGCATGAAAACAAACAACTTATTAATTAAATTAAATAATATTTTAGCAAATAAATTTAATTTTATTAAATATCAGAAAAACACGTATAAATACGGGTAGTACTACCTACTGACCGCGTCACCACCACTAGAAGAGACTCTAGCAGTTATTCTTGTTAAATAACTATCGCGAATAGACGATTCTTTACATAATCCTCAACGAAAGTTTTTCGTAGATTGCACCCTATTCCTCACCTATCTGTACCCATTTCCCAGACCCACTAGCTTAAGCTGGCACCCCGGGACAGTTTTACTTGATGCACGCCCCAAGATGAACTGCTGCAGCCAATTACTAAACGAGTATACCCTGCTGCGTCAGTTTCACTTACTGACATGCTCAAAATGCTACCCTGCTGTACCAGCCTCACCTACCGACATGCTCAAATCACTACCCTGCTCACGTACGCCACCCTCACCTGTGTTGCGGATGCGCAGGCCTGCGGTGGCTGGCAGGACGGGATGAAGCACTGAGCTGTTCTATTGTTGACGCAGCGACACGTCTCGCAGTAGTCGTCCGTCGGATGGAACTCTGATCCCTCCTGGACTGTGTTTCCCTGTCCGTCCTGGCACACTCCCACCACTGCAAGCACATGTGGATGGTGAAACAAGTGTTACGAGTGTATACCGTCATTAGATCGAGGAATATATTGATACAATAATATAGGCGAACCCAGCATAGATCTTACAACATGATTTGTGTTGACAAAACCATCTTTGTTGGATTCAAATGAAGGGCTTAGCATTAAGTTAGAATTGGGGTTAGGATTAAGGTTAAAATTAGGGTTACGTTGCGGTTAGGGTTAGGATTAGGTTAGGGTTAGGATTAGTATTAGTACTATAGGGTTAAAGTTATGGCTAGACTTCGAACTTTGGGGCCAGACTTATTGATAGGGATAGGACGATGATGTATAATTATGCGGCCAGCATCCCAAGTTATGGTTTAGCCAACGACTTTTGTTTCGAGGCTCGTGATTATTAATAATACGACATCAGGGACTAGGCATATAATCATGTTGACCCATGCCCACCGCCACACCTCGGTCAACTCCACCGCTTTTACTTTACACACGAGACGGGTCGGCTGCGTTTGTCACCTCACAACTCGTTGTCACATGTCGATCCACCATCAACCAAATAACACAACACCCTAACACGACTCGCAACCCCTGAAATAGCGAGGCAAACAAATAACGCAGTGGCTACGGGTACGATAGCCGTCGGCCGTGGAAGCCCCTTTTTGGCGTTAGGGATAGGGTTAGGGTTAGGATTAGGTTTAGGGTTATGGTTAGGGTTAGGTTTAGGGTTAGGGTTCTAGCTCATCTAAACTCTCAAATCGTGAATTTATTCCCAAGGCGTTATTTCGAAATCTGGCGCCACCGCGCCATCTTTGTTCGTTAAGTATAAAAGCGAATGGACTCCCGTACCCGTAGCCTCGAGACATTAAGATACGGCTACCGTACCCGTAGCCACTGCCACAAATAATCCTAATTAATTTTGCCACATTAGCCTGAGCTAGGTTAGTGTACAGTGTAGACTACAGCCTACAGCTACAGGCTACTGCCACTGTACTGCCTACTGGCTAGTACTGCTCATAGGGTCTATGTCCCCCAGGGTACTGCCGCGAACGTACCCTGGTCACTATTTGATATGGTTAGGGTTAGGATTAGGGTTAGGGTTCGGGTTAGGGAGTAGGCGTAGGCGACTCCCTAGACTCGTTAGTGAGTAGGCGAGGTACGGTCCGGCATATTAGATAGTACCAGGGTACGTTCCGGTATACCCACCGTACCCAGGGTACGTTCCGGCAGTACCCCGGGGGACATAGACCCTCTCAGCGCTAGTACTGGCTGCACATACTGCCACAGTAGGCCTACTGGCTGCCACTGTACTGTGTACAGCCACACTCCACACTCCACCAGTACTGGCTAGCCACTGAGGCGAGTGTGATTTTGACGTAGTGCGAATGTTTCGTGCTGATATACGACGACGAAATAAATTCATCCACGTCACACCTACAAATCACAGAATGACCATTCGCGATCGCAATTGAGGGCGAACAAGAATAGGACGTTACGTTATTGCCATGTCACAAGAATCAACATGAACACTGTCACTGATGAAGCGATGATAAGAAGATATGCAAGGAGATGAGACAATGATCTAGCTTACCATTGTGCACTTCCTGGCCGATAAAGGCAGGAAGAACAATAAGAGCTTTATCATGGCCTTCTACATGGCTTTACGATGCACAGTCCGAGTAAACGTTCACAGATCGAATATTTCTGAGACATTTCATTTGATATGTTTGATCTTCAGGTTCAGCCTTTTGCAACCATTTACAGGCACCCTATTTTCAGTGTTAGTTAGAACACGAGCCGTTGGCGGCGCTGCGGTCGCAACACGGACCGGCTAAAAATTTCGTGCAGTTTGTCAACAGAATAGATAGTAATATCATTATTATTAGCCATGGGCCTACAGACTCAGCAAATTGATGTGAAAGACCAAAAACTATTCGAGTACGTTTTAACATGGTATCTGAGAAACCTCCAAAAGAACCCTATATTGACCAAGTCAATTACAAGGTAGGGGCTCACTGCTCTGTGCTCACTCAGGCTAGGCCTATACTATAGACATGCGGCTAGCGACAGGGCGTCATCCCTATGTTACGCGATGCGCGATTCACCCTAGCGGCGAGTTATGGAACTAAAACCATGTACAAGTACATTCGATAAACATGAATTTTACATTTTACCCTAACGCTAACCCTACCTAACCCTAACCCTAACCCTAATCCTAACCCTAACCCTAACCCTAAACCCCTAACCCTAATTCGCGCATGCGTAACATAGGGATGACGCGCCTGTCGCTAGCCGCATCTATACTATAGCAGTATAGCCATAGGCTATACTAATACTAGGTATATATAGACTATAGTATTGAGTATAGTCCACTGCTCAGACTCAAGACTGGCAAGAGAGTTGAAGAGAAACAGGCTCAGTCACTCAGAGTAGAGTAAGAGTGCTTGCGAGTGGCCTCTGAGTGAGTAAGTGGTACAGACTGCACTGCAGTATGTCTGTGTTGTTATAACTTGAAATTTAGTCTAGGCATAATAATGGCATGAATTGAACATGATATAGTACATGTCTAGGCAGACATGGCTCTTTTATTACTATGACGTGTTTGTTGCTACAGTGGTGTGGTCGCAGGCCTGGGCGAATGCCATATGGGCAGTACATCATAATGAAGAGTAAATCCAGCAGCGACAGCGCTACGCCGGGACCAGTGGCTGCGAAAGAGTTCAAACTACGAGGTATCGCCTCCTTCGCCGCATTCGGGTGCGCATAACTCTACTCACGTCGTCATACCTTTATTGCACGTACAGTGTAGCCCCGTTATAACACGACGGTTGGGGTCCATGAAATGTGATCGCGAAAAATTAAAAAAATAACAATTATTCACTGTAGCGGGAATTTCTTGTTAATGCAGTACGGTAACCGATTTAATTTTCAGTTGCACTTTCTGCTTAATAAAGTAAAAGAGGCCGTGGGTGATGTTGGCTAGCTTGGCACGCGAATACGCTATTATTATTAATATTTATTATTTTTATTATTATTATTGTTAAGTCTTTATTGCACGTAATTCAAATACAAGTGCATGCACTGAAGACAAATCGTGATCCGAGTTTTCGTTTCGGGTTTTTCGCAGTGCTCTCATCAGCGCCCCGCTCACGCACAACTACTACATGCTGCTAGACGCGCGCGTGCCCGTCACGTCGTCGAACGCGGCGCTGAAACGACTGCTCATCGATCGTGGAATCTTCGCTCCCATCCTCATCTTCATCTACTTTTATGTGATGCAGCGGGTAGAGGTGGGTGCTAGTCGGAAGCTGTGATAATAGTTTTAGTAGAAATAGATCGCTGTGTGTATATAATGTGTGTGCTAAAATAAGGGTAGAGAGAATACCAATATATAATAATATATATATATCAGGGTTCTCCTACGTTGCGCAAACGGGGCGTGCGCGCCGCTTTGGGAAAACTCCCCCCTGTTTGAATCGTTTGCGCCCCGTTTGAATTACCTCCGCCCCGTTTAAATTCCACACAACTAAAAGTTTGCCAGCGGGGGAATCGACGCGTCAGAATTGCCGTTCGACCAGGCCACCGACGCCGTGTATTTTACCGTACACGCATGCAGCTGCAGACAGTACACAAGTTAACCTGTAACTAACTGTACACCGACTCGGCTATCTTATATATACAAGAACCAAAAACCGTCTATGGTGTGGTGGCGATTTTACGCATTAATTAGTCGCGTACGGTAAAAATACACGCCCCCCAGACCTCCTAGTTTCCCCTCCCCCTGCCTCTCCCCGCCACCACTCACCCCTCCTCTCCCCCTACCCCTCCCCTCCCCCCTGTTTGAATTTCATCCTGGGAGAACCTGTATATATATATATAAAATAAGGGTAGAGAAAATACCAATACATATAATATGTATTGGTATTTTCTCTACCCTTATTTTAGCACATCAGATTGTTGCAGTAAACTAACCAGGTGGAAGCTAGGTTACGATGTGGTAGACGATGTATTGTGGGGGGTGGGGGATTGTAGTAGGCAAGGAGGCTACTGAGGGACGGTAGTTCAAGTTGTACGTTTCTGTTTTTCAGATTGCTCAGTGTTCGTGCATGTGTGCGTTCATGCGAGTGTGTGAGGGTGTGCGAAGGTGTGTGAGTGTGCGTACGTGTGTGTGTGTGTGTGTGCATGCAAGTGTTGTGTGTGTGTGTGTGTGGGCATGCAAGTGTTGTGTGTGTGTGTGTGTGTGCATGCAAGTGTTGTGTGTGTGTGTACGTGCGTGTGTGCGTGCATGTGTGGGCATGCAAGTGTTGTGTGTGTGCGTGTGCTTGTGTGCGTGCGTGCGTGCGTGCGTGTGCACGCGTGTGTGTGTGCGTGCGTGGTGTGTGTGCACGCGCGTGTGTGCGTTGGCACGTGAAAAGAAGGTTAGCAACGTCCCTCCTGCTGATTTCAGGGAGGCTCGCACGAAGACGCTGTGAAGAAGATCAAGCAGAGTTTCTGGCCGGCCGTGCTCATGAACTGGAAGTTTTGGACCATCATTCAGTACGTCAACCTGAACTACGTCCAATGCAGGTAGGAATGCTGGCACTGGCACGCGGAACCTTGCTGCCCATCATTCCTAGAATTCGTTCCTGTCTTACCCAACGTAAATGCTGTTCAAATAGCTTTATATAGAGATGTGAGAGAGCAAGCGAGCAGTATATCGAGTTCATATATATGTGTGTGCGGTGCGTGCGTGTGCGTGTGCGTTTGTGTGCATGGGTTCATACGTGCGTGTGGCATGTGCATTCAATGATTGGTTCATCACGACCCTGATGGCTGGTAACATGGAACTCTAAGCTAGCTGAATCTACATGGTGTAGGTGTACGTTCCGTAGAGACAGTCTAGACAGATCAGTCTCGTGTCACGGCTTGTGTTCTGACCGTGGAAGGCCTGATTCTTACGTAGGCTGCAATCATGTGCTTTTGACAGGCTCGAATATTTTTATTATTTATTGTTATTATTAAATCTTTATTGCATGTAATTCAAATACATAATACGTACATGTACTGAAAACAGTGTTTTTCATGCAGAAAAAATCTGATAGATGCAATCATGCTGACTGTGCCGTCATGACAAATCTGAATCATGAATGACAATCATGAGAAAATCTGATAGATTCAAATATGACTGCATCATCTTTACACGAGTGTGCTTGTTGCTTCTCTAGTATCGGATCCTGGTTGGGAATGGTGTCGGGCTGCTATGGGAGCATCTATCTCGCCACGAAGCGTCACTAAATGCGTGCCATCGCCGCTTTCGAGGCAGCAGCTGCAACCGCAAGGTGGCACCACCTATGATGATGCGATAGACAATTTGCGGAGCGCGGTGATTTTGATTATTATCGGGTGATTTTGTACACGTGCTGTGATATACTGGGTCAATTCGTGTATGGCCATATGCGATATGTGTGTGTAATGTCTTCTGCCAAATGTTTCCATTGTGTTGGAAATGAACAAATGAATAATGGCTCTCATTGATGAACAGGTGGCATCTGTTGCTGTTAATCAGGGCTTCCTGTTTGTTTACTTAATAAAAAGAATGAAATAATTGTTACCTGGTGAACTGTTTCGGCAACAGTGAATGTTGTAGAATTGTTACTTCATGGCTCTGTCCCATGTAATGTTCTTTTGTGTATGGTTAGTGTAGGATGTGTGGTATATGGTTTGATTGTAAAATGTTTAATTTAATGTTATTTACGTGGAAAGGTTTGCAATAAGTGTTATGTAGCTGAGATTGTCATTAACATAAATAAAACTTTCCAGCGTACCGTACTGCAAGAGTGAACGTTACATATTCAGCAGTAATATGTTTTAGTGATTTTATCATGAAGAAATGGCCAGGAAAGATGTACAAGGTTCTATGTAATAAATCGTGTGTATGTGCGTTGGACGGTTTGATGATCATGTTACAAATTTATATGCAGCAATGCTTTTTCAATTTCCTGACTTGAAAATATCCAAGAGTTTAAAATAATAAACAATGTTTTTAATTTTATATTTGATACGTTTCATGAAGATTTAATCATTGTAATTGTGTTGTAATTTTATTAAAATAATATGTATCATAGCATAAATACTTGTTTAGCTCTAATATGTGTCTTGCTTGATTCACAAAATAATCGTTCTTTCCTAACCGATCATCATCAAGTGGAATAAGGGTAGTACGGTCCAAGTGCAAGTCCAAGTGCAGGGGCCGATTCAAGACACTGGTATTCGACGTTCCGCCAGCTTCGCAGTTTACCTGTACACTGTGACTATAAACATTTCTGATTGGACGGGATCGCCGCCACTGTTACAACTGTTGTGGTGGTGCACTACCATCGCAACATGGCAACCTTGAGCAGAGGATTTGGCCGTTCTCTGCCGTTTTTATTGTACCGTGCTAATACCACGAGTTATAATAGAGAGGAGCGAAATTTTTTAGCAGTAAGACGTTTCCTACTTGAAAAAAAATTATGCACGATAGTTGTTTAGGTCTAGGTGTCACGGTCGTGTTGTTGCATTCTCGTGTGCTGTAACTCATGCAGTGATGCACTGCTGGCGGCGCGCAAATCCACTTTACTCTTTAGCCTTAGCCTTAGGCACCTTAGGGTTAGGTATCACGAAGTGATGCACAGATTTCTGGTATCATCAACTGATGCACAGGCTTTCCGTATATCCAGAGAGACATGATACAAGATTGCGTGGCACAGCTTTGCTTGTGATCCTAAGCGCTGCGCGCGGATGAGACGCGCAGTTCCGCGGATACGCACGCGACCGGGGATGTTCAAGTATGAAGCGCTGCCGCAGTGGAGACGTGCGCCAAATTCGAGGCCCGGCGCATGTTCTCCACAGCGGTCAGCGGATGGTCTGTAGTTTTAGAAGATGACAATGATTATATATGGACGATATATTCTAAATAACAGTGAAACATGGATTAACTTAACTAAGGAAGAAGTAAAAATGTTGGAGGATTTCCAAAATGATTGCCTGCGCAAAATAATAATCACGCAAAAACCTATCAAAAGGCATTGAAGATGATGAAAACTTCAAGGAAAGATACGGAGAAATCAGTAAAATTAACATATAGTTTCTATACGTAAATCGTGGTAAATGCATATAAAAACGCATTATTTTATTGAAAATCCTCATATTTGCATATAAAACATCCAAGAGATGGCGCTGTGCATGTAAACATTAGCTCCGTGCTTCGAAGTTCGAACATTGTGTGTGTTTTATTGAATTGTTCATTGAATGAGGCACCGTTCACTTCCGACAGCGAGTGAAAATGCAGAAAATTTTCTTATTTGATGCGAAATGCCATCGGGCCCGGCATTTCATTATATACAAAAAGCAAACAGTCTCGCGAAACACCTACAGCAATAACGGGTCACGTCGTTGACGCCCCATTCATGCCCATCAACGAAGAAGGCGGGGCTTATTCTTATTACGGAGATGCCAAAATGCAACAAAAGTACGTAGCGTAGTGCGCTAAATGGCGTGTTATTTTCGTTTTTGTGCCAAACTCTATCGTAGGAAACCTTTCTAGCCTAGCAGAATGCCCTAGTTCTTGAGATCTGCGATTCCATGCTCTAATAGTATTGTACCTAAAAGTTAGAAGATAAGGGGGCTGCGTAGACTGTGATTGGAAGACACAAAGTGTCAATCCTCGGCGAGCCTCGGTATCATGGCCGCATCACGTCAAGGAATGATGCAAAAATCCTAACCCTAACCCTAAGTCATAAAGTATAACCTTAGGTATCACGAAGTGTGTAAGGGTTAGGGTTAGGGTTTTTGCTTCATTCCTTGATATACGGAAAGTCTGTGCATCAGTTGATGTAGCTCTAGTACTATAGCCCTCGTACAGTTGCCGCAGACCTGCGCAAGCAACTGCGGCAACTGTACGTGGGCTATAGTCTTAGCGCTACACAGGGCTCGAATTAACCGACGGCACCGACGGCAATTGCCGTCAGTGCCCCTATCAATCGCCGTACTGCCCCTAAAAATTCAACTCGACCGACGGCAGTGACCTGCCTTGCCCTTTTCTGTAATTCCCGTCGGTGCCTCTGGCTAGACTGGTTTGCGGCCGCACTGTTTGTCGCAGAGCATGTACATTGTCTAGCAGAGCGTGAGGCCGGATACCACTGGTATTACCAGTCTACCTTTTCACAAAAACAATAATATATAACGTGGCTTACTGCCAACCGCTGCCAGTAGACGATCGATAAATCGTGCGCCTGTGTATGCCCGTGATAAAACACGAATATTTAAATGCTGCACGTGGACTCGGCCCGTGCGCGATTTAAAGCGCGGATAACAATGTTCGCGCAAGAATGGCCAGCTGTGATCTGTACGGTGTGTAGCTTGTGTAGAATTCATACGATGACAGAAAGTTTTCCATAACAATGGTCTGGGTGTGGGCTAGTGAAAGTTAGGTCAGGTCAAGTGGTTTTCCTCAGTTACTAGCCCAATGGTCTAGTGAAATAAAAAGTTAATGTTGAACCCTGTTACTGTACTTCCATTAGCAGAGGGGGGTACAGGGGTCGGTGTTACGGTGTAAGCTTACATGGGGGCGGAAGACGATGTACATCAAGGAGACGGTCTGTACATTCAAGGTAAAAAACAAAAGTGTCTTGGTGCCCTTCTCAAATTGTGAGAGTTGCCTTGATGCCTTTTAAAATTGCTTCGGTGCCCATCCATTTTAGAGAAAATTCAAGGCAATTTTTCACATGCCCCCAAAAAATTGCCTTGCCCCTCTTGTCGCTTAATTCGAGGCCTGGCGCTACAGTTGATGATACACAGAAATCTGTGCATCACTTCGTGATAGGTCCTAATTAAGGTGCCTAAAGTGGATTTGCAGGCAGTGACACTCCGCCACTCGTGAATGCACATTATACACACAGTACAATGGGTAGCATGCGTACGGCGGTACGGTATATGTACTAATAATACTGTAGTCGCATCGTTTTATATCTGTGGAATCGAATAATGCTATAATATTGCCTAGTGCACTACAGTACCGCTATATACTGTCACTGATTCTGCTTTTAAAAATGACATTTAATATTTTTCAGGTACTCCAACTCTCCACAGGTAAAACTTATATCAGTAGTAGTTTAATTGAACTTGACGTAGTACAATAATCAATATCAATATGTATATCTTGTGTGGGAATATTATTATTGTAGTCAAATACTCGCATTGCAATCACAGTGCAATAGAACACTGGTCATTGAATGCCTTGGCAGTGGTAGTATAGACACATTGTGTGCAGCAGTAACACAGTCACAGTAATAACATGTATGACGTATATGAGCCATACATTCCTCCCCTTCTCCCTCTATCTCCCTCCCTCTCCTTCATATCTCCTCCCTCTCCCTCCCCCTCTCCTCCGTTTCTCCCTTCCCGTCTCTCCTCTATCTCCCTTCCCTCTCCCTTCTATCTCCCTCCCTCTCTCCCTCCCCCTCTCCCTCTATCTCTCTCCCTCTATCTCCCTCCTTTTCTCCCTCCCCCTCTCCATCTATTCTCCTCCCCCTCTCCCTCTATCTCCTCCTCTCTCCCCTCCCCTCTCTCCTCTATCTCCCTCCCTCTCTCTCCCTCTCCCTTTCTCCCTCTATCTCCTCCCTCTCTCCTCCCCTATCTCCTCTATCTCCCTCCTGTCTCCCTCCCCCTCTTCCTCCCTATGCTCACTCCCTCTCTCTCCCTCCTCTCCTCCCCTCTCCTCTTATCTCCTCCCTCTCTCCTCCCCTCTTCTCTATGCTCACTCCCTCTCTCTCTTCTCCTTCGCCGCTCCCCCTCTCCCTCTACTCTCTTTCACCCGGTCTCTCCCCTCGACTCGCGTTCGCTCTCCCCATTGTTTCACCCTCTCTCTCATGCTCTCTTTATCTCCTCTCTGCTCTCACATTGACCATTCCTTTCTCACTCACTCACACAGGAGACAATTGGCTTCATTGGTTTGGGGAACATGGGTGCGCACATGGCACGAAACCTAATCAAGAACGGGTACGGAATTATTGTCAACGACATAACACTGAGGCAGACGGAACAGCTCAAGAACGACGGTAGGCATGTTAAGGGGGGATTGCATCTCGTAATAAGGCCCAAAACAAAAATATAGGGTGTGGTTACGGGTTTTCCGACCGACCCTATTTATTTCCAGCGACCCTAAACATTTTATTGTAAATTTTCTTTAAAGTAAAAAAAAAATTAAAATTAAAAAATAAAAATAAAAATGAATTGGACGGTTCCTGCTTCAAAAGGCACAACGCACATCCTTCGCCACATGGTTCGTAAATAAAATAATTTCAATGAAAAATAAAATGTTTTCCCTACTACTCCTACCCTATTTTTTTTCCGGCATGTAACGGTAACCACACATATATTTTGTTTTGGCCTAATGTATACTGACTACTGAGTACATCCTATACGATGCTGCCTGCCCAGCGCGACAGTAGCCAGCTACTAGATATTCAATAGTTTTCTTGAGTTAGTATCTTGAACAGGTGTTGTTGTCAAGTCACTGAAGAATCCTCTAGTCGTTCTTTTACCCAACTGTAAAGACCAAAAACCAAAACTTCCACTCCGTAGGAAATGACCACGGTGCCCCCTCGGATACTGTTTCTAGGTTTGGTCAAGCTCACCCAGTTTGTATTGGCGCTTTTTACGCTGGCGTGAATAGTTGTCGACTTTGAGGCATTTTGTTACCGAGCAGCATTTTTAGAAATGACCTATTGCTACAGTGATTGGCTAGAGCTATGTACATTAGTGATAGGTCTAATAACTTTGCCCACAGTCACTGGTAAGTTGGTAACCCACCCTATCATGCCATTGCTTCCGTCTTGTAACTCTGCACCCTCTCGTCCCCATCGTGCCACGATTGTGATTGTGTCACGATGCGTCACAGGCGCGGACGTCGCTGCGACGCCGGCGGAGGTTGCCGATCGTACGAACGTCATCGTCACCATGCTGCCGTCCAGTCCACACGTGAAGCAGGTGTACGCTGGTGACAACGGCATATTCCAGTGAGTACCGTCGTTGTCATCGTCGTTGTCATCGTTTTCATCAGCATCATCAATGTCGTCGTTATCATTGTCGTCATCGTCATCATTGTTGTCATCATCATTATTGTCGTCGTCGTCATTGTTGTCATCATCATTATTGTCGTCGTCATCATTGTTGTCATCATCATTATTGTCGTCGTCATCATTGTTGTCATCATTATTATTGTCGTCGTCGTCATCATTGTTGTCATCATCATCATTGTCGTTGTTATCATTGTCATCATCGTCTTTATTTATATCGTTATCATTGTTGTCATCGTCATCATTGTTGTCATCATCATTATTGTCGTCGTCGTCATCATTGTTGTCATCATCATCATTGTCGTTGTTATCATTGTCATCATCGTCTTTATTTAAGTCGTTATCATTGTCGTCATTGTCATCTTTATTATTACCGTCATCAATGTCATCGTCACCCGTCATCGTAGTCTTTGTCGTCATGTCTTAGTCTTTGGTGTGATGATTACCGTGATGCTCACTTGTTCTAGGACCGTGAAGCCGGGCGCGCTGCTGATAGATAGCAGCACCATCGACCCGGCCGTCTCGCGTCAGATGGAAGTGTTGGCCGTAGAGAAATCTGCGACGTACATGGATGCGCCCGTGTCGGGAGGTGAGTGCCTCTGTCCCTGTGTATAAGGGTCGCTCGAGGAAAATGCGAAAAGTGTCCTTTATAGGCAGGTGTCGACATTTTGAAAATTATACTGTGATTAAAATCTACGTATATAAAAAAGAGAGCCATCGCACATATATATGCACATGTATATATACACTGAAATTTTACAACGAATAACTACCTTTTTTGCCACCTGTAGGCTATATATTCTAATCATAATTATAGTTTATACGTACTGCATGGGTAAGTCAACAATGTTTTTTATCAGCGCTTCTCAGTCCATCATTAAGAAGTTTATAAGTGTTACACATATCGTGTAATGGGTGGCGGGTCGTTAGGCCAAACCAAAAAATAGGTGTGTTTCCGGTCGACCGACTTTCCCTAGATTATTAGGGCCGACCCTACTTTTTTTTCCAAAAATAATAATAAAATAAAATAGTTTTTTTTCATTTGAAATCTGACAAACAAAACTTGAGATTTTTTACTACAAACACGTTCTGGACTTGCTTACTAACTTATCCCTACCTATACACCACTTTATAGCATGCATCAGAGGGATATTAGGAACCGAAGAATAAAAAAATAAAATAAATAAAATAAAAAATTCCTACCTACCTACCCTACTTTTGTTTTCAATGCAATAGGAGACACACCTATTTTTTTTGTTTGGCCTTAACAGGTGTGCTGCGGGCGCGGGACGCGGGGCTCACGTTCATGGTCGGGGGCGCGAGCTCGGTTACCCGGACGCAGAGAAGCTGCTGGCGTGATGGGACGCAACGTGGTGCAACTGCCGGCGCGCGTCGGCACGGGCGAGGCGGCGAAGATCTGCAACAACATGCTGCTGGGAATCTCGATGATCGGGTCTCGGAGAACAATGAACCTCGGGATCAAGTACGTCGTGGCGCCCCCTGTCTGTTATTCGTGGCCCCCCCCTTGCGGGAATCGTGATCCTCCTTTCTTCCGCCATGCAGAGACACGCACGCACTCCACGGCATGTGCACGTGATTCTAGGATGGATAGAATTAAGCTAATCTTCTCGCGTGTCTCCGTCTTCTACCCTCTCTCCTGTCCCTTCACTGACTCTTAAACACGATGGTGCGCGACGTTTGTCCATGATGGAAGCCACCTGACGTGTCTCCGTCGTTCTTCTACCCGTCTCTCCTTCGATCCTCCACTGAAAGACACGTGTCACTACATGTGCGTGCGTTTCCAGGATGGAATTAAACCACCTGATGTGTCTTCGTCATTCTACGCTCTATCTCCTTCCTTCCTCCACAGACTCATGTCGGCGACGTGTGCATGTGTTTCCGAAATGGAATTAACACCCTGACGTGATTCCGCTGTTCAACCCTCTCTCCTTCCTTCCTTCACAGACTCATGTTGCGACGTGTGCATGCGGTTCCAAGATGGAATTAAACCACCCTGACGTGATTCGGCTGTTCAAGCCCTCTCTCCTTCCTTCCTTCACAGACTCGGTCTCGACCCCAAGCTACTCGCGAAGATCCTGAACATGAAGTAGCGGCCGTTGCTGTCGAGCGAAGTCTACAACCCGTGTCCCGGCATCGTCGAGGGCGTCCCGTCCAGCCGAACTACGAGGAGGCTTCGGCAGCGCCCTCATGCTGAAGGTGGGCAGACTACGAAAAAGCGACCTTGCTATACGGACTATATATATATAACAAGCATATGTAACGTGTATAACGTAATACGTGCATATATTATTAGATGTGTGCATAATATACAACACGTATACAATTACATTGGCTGCGTAGTTCTCTAGTTATGCGAGTACGGACTAATTCGGCTGAACAACTTTATATATATAGATATATATATATATGTATACCGTATTCTGGATGTGAGCAATATGCTCTGTCTGACCATGACACATGCTGCCCTCTGTTGCAGGACCTGGGGCTGCAGTGAGCGCAGCCGACCGAGGCCGCTGGATGGACGTGCGGCCTCGTGGTGCTTAAGTGATGTGCTTCCGCTCTGCTAACGGACCTCTGCTCTGTGAACAGTGACATGGCTGGTCCCTCTGTCTAACGTGACACGTGCTGCCCTCTGTCTAACGTGACACGTGCTGCCCTCTGTCTAACGTGACACGTGCTGCCCTCTGTTGCAGGACCTGGGGCTGGCAGTGAGCGCAGCCACCGACACGCAGGCTGCCATTCCTCTTGGCTCCGCCGCGTGCCAGATCTACCGCGTGCACTGCCAGGCCGGCTACGCGAAGAAAGACTTCTCCTCCACCTTCAAGTTCCTCAGCGAAGAGAAGGCGCCGAAGGATTAAGCGGCAGCGGTGCCCCCTGGCGAGATGACGGTTGTTGCGGCCGTTTGTACGGGAGAGGGGTGCGCGACAATGATAATGACGACACGATGACTGTGATGACACTACAGTGAGGACATGACAACGATGGTGATGATAATGACGACACGGTGACTTTGATGACACTACAGTGATGACATGACAACGACGATGATGATAATGACGACACGATGACTGTGATGACACTACAGTGAGGACATGACAACGACGATGATGATAATGACGACACAATGACTACGATGAATAAATCGTGTACATGTGAATGGGCCGAACATACAGTATCACGAATAACATTGATCACAACTCAGGTAGCAGAAATGTCAGCTAGCAAATCCGGCTCGATCTGCTGGCTGCTTGCACATTAGTGTCGAGCCTTGGTGTTATCGTTGTTGTTGTTATGGTTTGTTGTCGTCGTACAAGATACTGGCGTGGGATACCGACACGGACTAACCCCACGAATCATGACGAGCTAAGCTTGCTAGATTTTTGCGAATATCATTACAGAGAATCATGTACCCTCACGAAGCTCGCTGTGACGGAAGAAACAATACACGATGGGACACAACAAACTGTGATCATTTTTGTACTCGTTAGGTAAATAGCAAGTGAATAGCGATGACAGATTGAACGCTCAGATTTGTGTAGAACTACGGGTACACCGTCTGCTAGAATGTCTGTTGTAACCCACGTGTGTAGAGAGTATCAGGTAGTTAGCGTTAGGTGTGCCTGCCTAACGCGCGTGCGTGCGTGCGTATGTGCATACAAGGTTACAATATGGCATCTAGGTGGGTCTGTATGTACCCTATGTAACCTCGTAAATATTAGTCTTCAAAGTCCAATGGACTATATCGAAGATGGAATGAGACAAAGTTGATCAAACAGACAGACCAATACTGAGGATCGTAGTAGTAGCATGTTTGTGAACAGACACATTGGCTTGTTGTTGTCGGAGGTGGTGTTCTAGCCTTTAGCATGTGCGGTCGGCGTCGGCTGCCGCGGCTTCTGTTGCCATGGCAACTGTCCTTGACGTGTACCGTCCAGCCTCTCTGTTGCGAGTTGAAATCTCTAACGTTAATTGCCAACACGATGCCGCTGTTAGTAAATACGTTTAGGAAATAAACGCACTGCTACTCTGTTCAACGAGTAATGCAGTGTTTGTTCATCATTTTGTGTCTTTTTGGCTCTATCTCTGGAAGCTTTTCGTATTTCAAAAGACAATTACAACCATAAACGCGTTTTCTTCCTTTTTTTTGGCCTTTCTGCTCTATTTGTTGAGCACAGTGACTCCACAGCTGTGTTACCTTGGTTTCTGTAACGAGCTTTGATGCAAAGCTACATGTTCTTACACGAGAGAAGGTTGTTAGCCTTATGCCGCCGAAAAATAGTAGACACTGAGAGAAACAAATACGACGTTTTCGCCAGTTCCGTATTACAAAGCACATCGCATCATATATTTTACAAAACGAACTCGCATTAAAAAACAACGACACACCCAGCACTCGAAGCAACGTGACGACAGTCGTCTCGACGGCGGTCACCAAGGCAACTGTCGCCGTGACGACCGTGACTGCCCGATACACACGCGACCACCTCTCCATCGAACGTTGATCAACGTGGATCTATTCCCCATGCGGAACAAAAATCGAACAATGATTAACACGGATCAGTTTCCCATGCGGAACATACATTAAATGAAGCGGTCGTGCAAGTTCATGCTCAAGTCGGATTAAACTCTACAATTAAGCTCTTTATACAACAAACAAACTTGGTAAATATATTATTATACAGTGAAACTACCTTTTGATAACGGACATCTGTCTATAAAGGACAAACTTGGCGTTTCCCTTTTAGTGACCTATATAGAGGTCTGACTGTATATATATTTATATATATATATATATATATATTATCATTGCCATCTTATTCTGTACAGATTATTCCACGTGTGTGTGTGCTTCTAGCAAGAACTATCATAGTCTGACCACTGACTTATCTTACGCTCTAGTAAACTGTAAACAGCATAGAAACCATTCATGCAAGGCAATAAATAACAACAACTTAAGAGCAGTCACTTTGCACCATCCAATGACTTTAAATAAATACAACAGCACACATGGCAACCACGATCTCTGTCATCAGACGGCATAATGAACAACAAAATCTTAAAAAAAGAAACACGATATGCGCAAAGATAATCTATGATAGATGGCGCCACGTGTCAACCGAGCGCTAAACATGAGGTGCCCGGTTCTCAACAATCCTGGTCTACAGCGACGGCGAGTTAAAACGGGCGCTGTTTCAGTAAACTGAAGAAGAAAGCGCACACGCAAGAACACGCGACAACGAGCAGGCGGTATTGACGTATGTTAGCGATGCTCTACTTTATACAGGAACGCGTTACGCAGACTGGATCAACTCGGGGTACGCAGCGAGACGGTGTACCGTAAGCGCACGGCAGCAGCGAAACTACCAGCGGTGAGCACAAACATGGCCGCAACATACCAGTGTCGCGCATAAACGTGGCTGCGGCACCACCATTGTTAGGCACAAACATGGCCGCAACCTACCAACACCGCGCATAAACACGGCTGCGACACCATCAACGTTGAGCACAAACATGGCCGCTGGTCGGAGCGATTTTTCAAGATGGAGTAGGATTTCACGAAGCGTTTTCCACGACAGGTGCCGCCACTTGTTCTGACTTCATGGTGCCACCTGTAGGTGTAGTGGGTGCCATCGGTTTGGCTACATCTGCAATAACACGCAAGTTAGAGCCAAGTATACCTATTTAGAAAGACAGAAAAAAGCGATGGAGAGAGGGGGAAGAGGACAGAAAGCGAGAAAGAGGGGGACAGGGACAGAGACAGAAAGAGAGAGAGGGCGCAAGAGAAAGGGAGAGAGAAGATGGAAAAAGAAGCCACCAAGTTTAACTACGTGAGAGCCATTATGACAATAAACACATGAACGAGCGAGCGATGTAACACACCTGAGGTGTCGTTACCGGCGGCAACAGGCGCGTCTCTACTGGCTTCATCCTTTGCTGCCTTCGTCGTCTCCTTGTTCTCCTCTCCTTCCTTCTCTTCCTTTGCACCGCCGTCCGGGGTTTCCTGAAGCTTCCTTCTCTCTTCCTCCTCGTCGATGTCTGAACCTGCATGCATGTGAGAAAGAGAATAAGTGAGATAGGAAAGTCCAGCTGTGTCTTCCCTCTTATCTGATCTCAATATGGCGGCGGGGACTTTCCGATATGGCTAATAGTTCAGTCACCTGTTACCCCAACCTGGCAAAGCAATAAATATTCAATGTTAGCCCCAGCCTTGTCCCCGCCTTACCCCGTCCCTGTCCTGCCCTGACCCCTCTTTGCATTGCCCCTGCACCCACCTTACCCTCCCAACAATGTCCTGTTTTGCCGTGTGCCTCCTCTCCCAACTCTGTCCCCACGTTGCCCCTGTCCGCCCCGCACTGCCCCTACCCACCCCACCCCTTGCTGCTCCACCCTGCCCCTCGCTGTCGGCCACTCTGACCGCTCCCCCTACCCACCGCTCACCCCTTGCTGCTACCCTACCTTGCCTACCTCACGCTGCGCTCTACGCGCCCGCGCATCCTTGCCTCCCGAGAACAAACGACCCTGGATTCGCTGCCCATACACACACCTGCCACTCCCACCGCGTCCACCCTGCCCCCTACTGTCCCGCCCGCACTGCTTCTCATCCGCGTCCGCCCACCTGCCCCTCGCGCGCCCAGCCACCTCTGCCCAGCCCTCCTCCCATGCCCCCACCCTGCCCTCCCATCCCCCTACCCCTGCCCCCCGCCCCTCCTTCCCGGCCCCCTACCCCTCGCCGCGCGACCGTCGCTGGCAGACTTAACGCCGTGGTCAAGACGGATCGAATGATCGACGATGTACGTGCGCGGTTCGGATGGACAGCTGCTGGATGCGGGGCGCGTTGGGTCGCTGCTTCCTTGCAGGATTGTACGCGTAGCAGTAAGCACATCTGAAAGCTAAACACAATCAACACAGTCGATTTCACACACGTGTGATAATAATTCAGAAAATATATATGAAGTTATTATAAATTACAGACATCCCACTGCATTGCAGGGTTGTACGCGTAGCAGTAAGCACATCTGAAAGCTACACACACGCACTGTGTGACACATGCACACGCACGTTAAAATATAAAAATATATATATATATATATATATATATGTTATACATGAAATATAAACTTCAGAAAACTATTATGAATTACAGAACATCACACTACATGTGAACCACACGGTCCACACCTCCACCCATCATTCCTGCGATCACACGCGCACGTACGCACCTAGATATTCAAACTCCTCCTTCAGTGCCATGCCGTTGTGTGAGCTGCACTTGAAGCAGATGAGAGCGTATCGCTGGGCCGGACCGTCACCCACGAGGTACTCTACCAGCTTGTCGACGTTCGACCGATGTAGCGGCAGGATCGGTCGCGGCGTCGGCGGTCCAGGGGGCGCACCTAGACACGCGAGAGAGAGAGAGCGAGAAATACGTGAGAACATGCAAGTCGGGTCGCCGATAGCCAGCCGACCGTCCTGGTGGCTCCATCTGTCGAATTAGGGCTCCACCTGAAAACAAGAGAACGTCCGACGGAAAGGTCGACGTGCGGTTTCGTGCGTCGTTCTCTAGCTGACCTCCACACACGCGCCGGTGAGTGCCACCTGGTGGGGAACAAGTGAAGCAATGTGTTGCTTACAGGTTGCTACTATATGACAGGAGCGAACGAGGGCTGGATACACAGTTTGGCTAGGAAATATTAATTAAATATTTATTTCATAAAATTATTTAATATTAAATTTTTATTTTTATTTATAAATATTTAATTTATTAATTAATTATGAATGAGTGAGGAGATGGGAGAGTGGCTGGGAATCTTATTCAGGCTCTGCGAATAAACACTACTAACCCCACAACACACTGTCGCCTCTAACCGACCCTGCAACCTTGACTTGAACCCGCGACCCACATTGACTCTGCGACCCCCTAATTAACCCAGTGCTTCTTAAACCGCTGAATGGTTTTATGAACGAAATTATTCTGCGGTGAACGAAACTCACCAAAAAACATAAGCAAATTTTGTGACAAAGACTCGAGGGTGAATGACACTGAGATAGTTTAAGAAGCACTGCCCTAATCATCCAAGCGGCCCAATACTGACCCGACGACCTTCAAACAACCCCCTGCCCACCAAAATATCACGATGAGCCGCAAGATTTCGAGCAATGTTATAGCAATCGTTGCTATAGTAACGGCAACAACAGCAAGCCTAGTAATTATACCTTCTCCCAAAAATATACTGCCTGTCCGCTGGCCGATCGGCACATAATTTTCGGGCAGGCCTGAAACGATATCGGGGTTTGTCATGATGAAACATTTATAGTCTGACTCCGGCGATTCTGAAGCCGCTTTGAAACTAACCAAGCTCGACGCAAATGGCGCCAGTCTCAGTGAAAAACATGACCACGCGGAAAAACTCCGAGAGGAGACGAGATGCTTCGTCGGTCGCCGTGGTAACGGCTCGGCCACGTTGCTAATAGCAACCGCACTGAACCTATTCGGTTTCTTTCTCCCACGGCGACACGCGCGCATTCTTGGGGCCAAAAATACATTTTGATTTAAAAATAAATTTTAACCTTTTTTTTCAATGGAACTCCGTCTGTCGCTTTTAAAAAGCACGCGTAGTCGCGAAAAGAATGAACGTCGTTGCAGTGTGAAGGCACACTCAGTTCACACATCAGTTCACACCTCAGTCACATTCCAACATTCCCCATGCATTCATATCGCAAGCAATAGATACAGTCAAATCTGTACGTAAGGGTCACTAACGAGAAATGACACAAGTGTCCTTTATAGACAGGTGTCCGTTCTATAGAGGTGGCCGCTGACATAGATTTGACTATACATGGGATGGCTACTAGGTTGTGTTTAAACTCCACGCAGTGTGATCACACTCACAGTGTTATTATCTGTCATAACGGTTAGTGATTTTTCATATAGGAGAAAAGATGTATCACACCGCGTAGTCTTGTTCTATGTGTTCCCGCCCTGTACGTGTGAAGGGTCACGTGGTGTGATCGTGGTAGTTGGAAGATGGCGGAATAAGAAGTGGACGAATAAACTATGTGTGTTATCTTTCACTCTGAGTTATGTTTATACTGGCGTGTTACAGGTATATAAGGCGCGCCGAACAGAGCAGAGTTAGTGTGTTATTTTCCAGGTTAGGTTTAGGTAGGGAAAAGACGAGGAAGGAGAAGAAGGAAGCAGTGAGCGTTACTTTTCAGGTCTAGGTAGGAAGAAGAAGAAGAAGAAGAAGAAGAAGACGACACCGAGCAGAAGCAAGCAGTTAGGTACAGGTCCAGGAAGAAGAAGAAGGAGAAGAAGGAGGAGAGGAAGCAGCCAAGGACGAAAAGAAAGAGGGAGAGTTATTTTCCAGGTAGAGGTTAGGTAGGAAAACAGGAAGAGGAAGAGAGAGGGAACGGCAGCGTTGTAGCGAGAGGATAGATATCCAGGTTTTCAGGTAGGTGTAAACCAGAGCCGAACGGGAGAGGGGAATAAAACGAGCGCAGCGAGGAACCGCATTCTGGTTAGGTAGAGCTAGGAGCAACTACGAGGGAGATACCTGGGAGACTGCTTAGGTCCACGCGAAGCAAGGACGAACGTGAGGGAAGAAGACGAAACCGGCGACGCGTAAATATTAGCCGAGATCGATAGAAGGTCCACTGTATATACAAATGCAGGGGAATCATTTGTACACTAGTAACACGCAATAAAAGCTATATAACCGTACCGTTAACCGAATCTCACTGTGTTCTGTTCGTTTGGTGCTACCTGTTATCTGCTACGCGACATCACCGTCCTGCCTGTGACACCGGCGGGAGCAAAAACTGAATCCCACTACTGGACACGCATTACGAAACAACGTCTGTCGAACCGTAGTCGGCCACCCCTAGGGCCACTACATTACAAAATAACTCGCAAATGCACCCGGCAATATCAGACGTGTAATTTACAGACGTATCGTATGTCCCAGGACCACTCTAACCCTCGTTGTATGTTGTAAATCATGTAAGAAATGTAATGACTTTTTTGTAATCAAAACTTGCTCAGCTTCATGTGTAGGGAGGGCTAAGGGAGGAGCTAGAGCACCACTGAATATAACTATCACTGGCAATACGATTCAGAGTACCCTTGCTCTTACATGCAGTTTAAGTCAAGCGTGTTACTATAATACAGTTGACTAAGTACTGTGTGTATGTGTGTGCAGTCACTAGTCTAAACTGAGGACAGCGGATGACTTATGGTTGCGCAGAAAAGAGGAGGCAGACCAAAGAAGACATGGGATGAAGTGGTGAAGAATGACCGAGCAAAGCTTGGCATGGATTCTACGGACCCTCATAAATTAACCGCTCTGTGTGGAGAGGGCGTCTTCGAGGAAGACAAGTCAGACAGGCCACACCCTCGGTAGAGGTTTAATTCAGGCCTGGATAATCAAAACTTACGACACACGCACACACACGTACGCACGCACGACACACGCACACACACGCACGCACGCACGCACGCACACACACGCACGCACGCACGACACACGCACGCACACACACGTACGCACGCACGACACACGCACGTACGCACGCACGACACACGCACACACACACGTACGTATGGATGCACGAAACGCGCATACGCACGCACGCATGCACGCACGTACGCACGTACGCACGTACGCATGGATGCACAAAATGGCACACACGTACGCACGCACGACACACGCGCACGCACGCACGCACGTACGGATGCCCGAAACGCGTGCACGCACGTGTTTGCGAACATACAGGTGCGTGATCACTAGAATGCGAGCGAGCGCACGTTCCTGGAGCCCCCGGAATGCACGACAACTCACACACCCACCACCTTCCTCCTGACAGCTTTCCTCCAAACAAGCCACCTACGCAGCCGCCCGAAAAAATGCCGACTGAGAGGAAGGAGGGGTGAAGCCGAGAAGGCGAGAGGGCGGGTGGCGGTTGCCGCGTGCGTTTAGTAGGTGGAAAAACACGCTGGATCAGCCAGCCAAGCAGAAGGGAAGGAAGGGAAGCCATGGAGACGGGGAGCGTGTCGGGGGCTGAAACATCGCAAATTCAACATCTACTAGCCAAAACACTATTCTCCATCTACTGGCCAACAACGTCGCGTAGGGCTATGATTCAGAAATCCCAGACGAACGACAATTTTTAACAACAGATGCACGATGCTGTATAATGATTACAAGCCTATTGATTATACTTCTTCCATTTCTTTTTTTTCAATTTCTGCTGTATCTGCTTCAATTTGTTTTTGCTGTGTAATAATTTCAAGCCCATTGATTCTACTTCTTCCATTTCTTTGTTTTCCCGGGGTTCACATGCAGAGCTACAGAACTTACTACAGATTACATCGTATATGGGAAGCCAACTCTCTCTATATCATTAATACATGTAATGAAAAAACAACAATTGGGCATCAACCTAGGTTAACATCCAAGATGACTAAAAATTACCAAAAATGATATCTATGTTTTATGGAATTTTATCCAGCATGTTTTCAGTTTCAGATTCCAGTCGAGTATCCAAAGTTCAACTTTACAGATTTACACACATTTATATTAAATTGTAGGTGGAGTAATTGCTTAAGATAGAGCCCAAGTTCTATGCTGCTTCCCCCTGCTCAAGATAACTTCAGAGTTACAACTTTTTCTTTCAACTTCCAAATTTACCGTGTTAAATCGTGGGTTCATCGGGTAGGTAGACAGTGGCTAGTACAAATGTTGAATTTTCCGGCGTTTCACGCCCCCGCGTCACTCTCCATCTTCATCTCCGCGCTTCTCCCCCGATCACACGATACTCACCTCTCCCGCTGCCGCTGCTGCCGTTCCTCTGCTGCGGCGTGACGCGGCTGGTGCCGGGGCGGCCCCCCGCCGCCGAGCCGCCGGGAGCGCTGTAGCCACTAGGGGGCGTCGCTGCTACGGGTCTGAACGCCTGACGGTGTCTCAGATCTGAGAACGAAGTAAGGAAACGACGTGAGGCGGGTTCTTAATCTCCGCGTACTTCTTCTTTTATGACAAGAAGAAGAAAAGGAAGAAGTGCAAGCAAAAGAAGAAAAAAATTTGAAGAAAAGAAGAAGAAAAGAATACCACGCCAGAGATCGAGAACGAAATCAAGAAGAGGGGAGGGTAGAAAAAACGTCCTATAAACCGTGCACGCCGTAGCAGAGTGAAACAACCGCCTCCGAGCGGAAAGGAGAAGAGATACCCACCCATGTAGCCCGGCTGTGTTCCATAGGCATACGGTGTGTACAGCGTGGGAGATCCATACAGCACTGCAGCCAGAAAAGACGTTAGCGGTGTTAGTAGCAAACATTAGACATGCAAGACACGTGGCCTAGGCGACGTCACAGAAAATGCCCACCAGTGTGCAGCGGTGTTGCCACAAGAGCAAAAGCGTGTGGCCGGGAGGTGATGGTGAGTGAACTAGTAAGTTTTCAGGTAGGTTAGTGCATAGTCAGAAGATGGGATGCCGTTAGCGCGAGGTGAAGGGAAAGGCAAACCCCTACCTTGTCCGACGGGCGTGTTATGCGACACATCGTTCTTATGTTCTGCCTGTAAGACAAGTGAACAGTTATTAGGGAACAATTAACAAGAGTTAACAAAAAACAAAACAATTAAAAATTAACAACATTCAACGAATCGACCAAGAGAGATTTCATCACGTGTGCAGGTTGTGTTTTGTTTAATCTGTGTGTGTGTGTGTGTGTGTGCGTGCGTGCGTGCGCGTGTGTATGAATCAAATAAAAAAAGCTAAATCAACACAAGAGGTTTCTCACCGCCATCATTTTCTTCGCGCGTTCTGGGTCAAACTTGTCCAGGATCTCTTTTGCGGTTTTGTATGTCTCCTTCTCCATCACCTCTTCAAGCTGAAAAAGAAAACGAACGGGTGTGCTACGACGAGCTATCTCGGAAACAAGTGAACATGTGACGAGCTTGGAAATCAAGTGAAAGAGTATTTTATCAATACGATAGAAGTATATACGTGCATATATTTGTTCGCTATCACCTCAACCAACTAGATGTAGACTTTTAATGGCTCATAGGCTTAGCGGCGGCTGCTACTGTCTGTTTCTGCCCCCCCAGCTGTGTTTAACTCTGGAGAATGAGGTAATGTAATATGATTCCACTGTTAGCAGGGTTAATGCGGGCTATGAACGCACCAGCTGTCGTTTCTCTTCTCTCAGCTCCACCAGCCTGAATTCTGGAATAGCAAAATAACGGTAAATGTGTGAATGATGACACAACATTAAAAAGATACAAGAAATTAGCCTCACAAATGTCACTGTTCTCGCAATAAGGAATAGGCTGAGTATATACGTGAATATAATAGTGTTTCCACAAAGATTCTTCTTTAATGATTTTCAGTTTCAGTGTTAAGGTTATGGTTAGAGTTAGTGTTCATTGTTCTATTGCAGTTACCACACGTTTATATGCTGAATTGATGATGACGTTGGCTGGAGACTCAGCATGACTGACACGAACTGTCACATTTGTTTTACCACTCGCGTCACTTTCATGCACGGTTTCCCACTGCCGCACGTCCGCCTACCTTTTTCCGTGATTCGTCGTACATAGTACCAGTGTAGGAATCTTTTCAATCCATAGATTCTGAAGCAATGGATGAGATACGAAACATGAGAGAGGAGCACTCGGAAATTTCAGACACACTTGTCTTACCCTTGTCCTATCTTAAACTTCTCTTAACGTTTTTCATCTTACTATTGGCAATGTTATATGTTCTTTTTATGGTATGCGGGGCTTTACTGTAGTTTACTGTACTGAAAGTACAGTAACAATACACTTTAGTATACTTTACTGTAAGTACGTACTGTACTGTAGTTACTGCGTTTACTGTACATAGCGGTGACCAATCACCAGGAATTATATTCAAAATGCGTTTAACAATATTGCAATCATTCAAAATGATTCAACACTTAATTACATCGGAAATGTAAAGAAATGTTTCAAAATTCAATTACACAGCATACGATCCATGTTTCATATTGCGCTTGCGATGTGAATCGATTTTATTAGTAGACTATTTTCGAAATTTGCTTGCAAGAGAGTTAAACGTTTAACATCACACGATCTGTATACGTTGTACGTATAGGATATACGTATACGATTATTACATTTTCATTATGTGTGTGTTTAACAGTGATGTATCATGTATGATAAACAGGGCCTACATGGAAACAGCATTGTTGTTGTTTTGTAGCTACCCTACGTTTGATACAATCTC